CACGTTTATTCAAGCATTATTCACCTGCTTTTTACAGCAAATATAAGCCAGGTACGAGCACACTTTGGCATCATCATGCATGCAATGCAATTATTCCCTTCCGGAGACAGGGGAATTTTGATGAAAGCTTGGACATTCAATTTATTCTTTTTTTTCCGGCTCTCAAATTATATACATACCGTTTTACTATATATCCAAAAAGAATAAGTCTATTTAGGATTCACAAGTTTAATCCTCTTTTGATACAAAAACAATCAATTCCTAGTTAGATGATAGCAAGAGAGACATTGGTAGACGATGACCGGAACTACAGTGTATAAGTCTGTCGGTCAAGAGAAATCCAACAAGCCCTAAACCTAGATGGATACATCTATCGGTAACAATATCGGACGACAACAAGTCCCAGGAAAGACATTACACTTTCCGAATATCCTACAAACTCTGATGCACAGATGGTACGGAAGCACGGATGTATGAGACGCGATTTGCGATGGGGAAAAGCATTCTTCAATTCTATTGAATAAATAAACCCCGAACAAGAACAGGGGCAATGAACAACACGGACATTTTCCTATACAAAGCGAAATTTATCCAGCAGTCCATTCCCCACTATCCCCAAGTACATAACTCTATCCTTCCTCACCGATACATACAAAAACTATACAAACCCATCCACCGATAACCCGCATGGCAATCAATTAGGTTTCGGTAAAACCTAGAAATGTCGTATTTTCAACGTTCAAGGCTGGCTAGACAGAAAAGCTTGAGCATGTTCCTAACAATTTCCCGGCCCAATTGTTAATATATATTTCCCATGAGCGTTGGCTGTACGGAGTATGTATTAGATGAGGGAGGGTATTGATTATATCCTGCAAGCTGGGGTTACACATATTGTAATGGATGCAGATAACCTAACCTTGGTCGATGCTTGACCTAATAGAAAACTTTGATCATGCTTTATTATAATATGGCTATGACATATGACACCGGTATGGTATGGGTATGATAGAAGTACTGCATTATCGATTTTCCAAGCATATTATTGGATTAGTTTTCTCCGTGCATAACCGTTTCGAACCTGGACCTATATGAGCATCGTAATATAACCGCTTGCCCCTCTTATCACACCCTTAAAATTGGGAAGGATTGCTGGATCACCACGAGGTACTCACTGTACTATCTATCCATCACATCATACCATTTCCAGGTTCTCAACGATACCTATACAGTTAATGATGAAATGGTTCGCACTGACTGATACTGTATCCGCAAGATCTCATCTAATCTCTGGTCTCTAATCTCATTTCGGATTCTAACTAAATATCCTTGAACAATATTCACCCCCTCCCCCCCCTTCAAAAATAATTAAAAAACAAGGATTCTTTTCCGACTCCTAACACAATCGAGTCAACAACTCCAATATCTTATGAACTGACTACAGTCTGAGAGCTACCAGATGTAGCACAGTCAAAGCACGGGAGTGATATGTGTTACATCCGTCTAACAGACGCGACACTGATATGGAGATGAGATTCCTTTCTTGCCCAGTCTGTCCGATCCCAAACTCTACAAGTGTTGGCATTACAATCGAACGTCGTCCTGCAGTAGTGCATTCGCTTCTCTCTTTCGGACGATTACATCTTCGGAGTTTTGATAGATCTTAGCGGCGTTGTATTATTCTGGATGGAGTTTTTTTTCTGGAGCAATACAATAGTTGATTACTGTATCCATCCTATCGAAATGAGAGGCACGGTTGCAGAGAAATTCGTTACAGAGGCCGTTCAAGCGCCGCTGCCTGACGGGAACAGTAAGGTAAGCTCGCTCACCCTTGATAGTTCGTATCACGAAAGTTCCAAACGGGTACAACGATATTGAAAAATGATCTTCTCTTAATGAGGTCGACTTGAATTTTACCCCAGAGGAAGCCGTCGATTCGTCAAATCAACAAATCATTGGATACCAGCAGTGCCCTGTACTCGAGTAAATGCGGGGAGCATTGAGTTCCTTCTTCTGGGCAATGCGATGTGCGAAATGAGCATACCGCACCCCAAATTGCGGCACAATGAAAAGGCGTAAATGATCTCAGTTCAAGCGATTCGATGGAGAATTAATCCTTCATACTCGAGCCTCTCCCTGGTCAGCTCCGGTCAGCCATGTTACTTTTCTCACTACAATCTCTTCCTCCGATGATACCCACCTGCGGCGCACAACATTGAACATTGAAAGACGAGACCCATCTTGTCCAATCAACTATATCTTGCAACAACGTTTGTGGGGATGCCGAGGCTTGAACCCAAGACCTAAAGAAATAAAGTCCAGTCGGTCTACTTGACTGTTATCAAAAGACCTTTTTTTACTATACCCTCAATCCGACGGTTTGGTTCAGGCATGATCAGCCTTTAGACTATGAAGATCTGCATGGAACAATGATAGTCAGCAATGATAGGTTGCGAAACTGTCCGTAGTTGACGATCATAGAAAAGCCGTGACATTAGTTACTCCGACGTCTCATCGATAAGGCGATCAATGCGGGTATTTACCGTATATCCTCACGGGACTAGACAACCCAACAACGTCAATTTTGTCGATTAGAGGGCTCAGCTGTCAACTACAATACTATAGATCGCGAGCTAATGATTGTACCTTTTATTTTCTCATTCGCTTCACTACTATCTATTCTAGAGTCGAGACATGACGGGAAGATAGTACCGGACTAGGCCACCTGGTATTTGACAGCTGTGAACCAGCCTACCACTTCTACTCGAGCAGTATACGAAATCTCATCTGTGTGTTCGAGGCGATTTATGGTAGGGATTTATGAATATCTTCAACGTTTAACATTTACATCAAAAAAGGCTCACCGATTATCCCATTGAAGTCGACACATTTGGAGTTTGGACTATTGTACGCCATCTTTAGCGCCACATGGCCCATTTCGGATCTGGAAGTAAGATATTAATAATGGACCGGGATTGCCGATAATCAAAAATCTCCTAAGACCGGATGAAGGTCGCAGAAAACCTAAAGGTTGCCGAAGCTGGCTGGCTAAGTAGTTTTTGAGGTTTGTATGGAGGTAACCCATCAGCCTGATCATAAGGCCTGCACAGTGCATAGTGGTTGGAGCACATGAGAGTGGGGAGTGCGAAGTGGGAGGGAGTGGGGGGTGAGGCTGACTACAATGGAACCTCCAAAACCTTCAAATCTTCCAAGTAAGTTCAGCTGCATATCACCAACGCATCTCACTCATCTCACGGGTTTCTTTGCAACTTCATCTCTAGATTTGGCCGTGAGCATGAGCGTGAATATGATGACTGACTACCGAATACCTATTCTGTATATCCAATACTTGTCACACGACTGCACATTCTCGGCATTATCAAGGATAACGCATGTGGATGAGCTTGGCCGTCTTATATATACGGGATGGAAATGAGACTTGTGATATTTTAGTGAGTGTCTAAGTTTTATAGTCTGCACTAGCCTCTTGACACATCCGAATACTCAAAATAAAGATGTTGTCAAGTCATTTGCTGAGCCACACTACCAGCCATTTGGACGACTAGTACGACTAGTACGACTCCTCTTAACCTCTCAAGTATTTCTCCACTTTTAAGGAGTGATGATGTGCAGCCTTTTCAACTAGTTATACCATAGCGGTGGCTAATATACGACATCAAAAATTGATAGGCTGACAACCTATTTTGTGAACGAGAGTTGGACGGACGGTAATAGTGTCCGCGCGATGTATTCTGTCCCATAACTTTCGATAGACGACCAACCCTAAGATATTTAAATCATGCCGCTAGTCAACTTTATTCATCAGAGATTTTCAGATGAGCCCTGATGAAGTATACGTAAGTGCACCGACTTTTTCTCAATCCCTATTCTGTAAACCACAGACATTGAATGGGTTCACATGATCTAATGAGGCAAATGATAGTTTGCCACCTGCGTCTAATGTGCCAATTTAAGCCTCGCTATGATCCGTCTGTACTGCCGAAGCGCTTTACGGGGAGCCCCCGGTACTAGTTCTGTCAAGCTCCATAGTTTTTAGGGGGATTTTCCGGCAGATCATCAATAGTCAAAATCCATATTCTTGGAGGTGCCACATTCGAACCTATGGAGACCCATCATTAAGCGAGTGGGTTCAGCTATCGAATCGTCTGCGGATGTCACGATGCTTCATCTGGAGAAAACCCATCTCGGAGTCACATTTTGGTCATAGCGATGAAGAACGCATGACTTTTGCAGTCCGATGTGATACTGACTACGGTTACACCCACACACTATATATCCCCAAGTATCAAGTTTGTACGTAGATCAAGATCACGACTCTAGCAACATTCATTCGCGAGATGTGCCACGAATGGCTAGTGAGTTCAAGGGTTGAGCACACCCGTTGTAGTCCTACTAGAGGAACCTTCAAGTTCATGCCTTCTGGGATCCACCTGCCATACGCAACCGCAAATCCGCTGTACCCACCGACCGCTGCATATTCCGCACACTTTGTTATTGACCTCACCACCAAATGGCATATAATCTCATACCAAGCTCAACGATATTTGAACATGATCTACCATGATTTGAAAGCCAGACCAAGAACCACAGCTTGGATCTCGGTCGACCTGACTCAGCCCATATCAACTGGAAGCTGTAGATGGAGCTCCTATGGTCTCGGTTTCGAGACCACCCGTCGCATATGAAAGTCGTCCATACGAAAGATGCAAGAACTGGAGTTTGAGGAGAAAGACCGATCTCTGAATCTTGGTACGCCGATTGCATTTCCGAGAACCCAAAGATCAGGGCCTGGGGTGCCCCCTCCCCTATGGATGGGGCGATGGAGCTTATTCCAGATTGGGCAAATTCTCGTCATGTACACGTGACTCGAGTCTAGCACGTTGTTCCACTCGCTTTCGTCTTGTCAAAAGTAAGACATACATATTCTCCTTCCGATTTATTACCTCCGGTGACGATCACTTGTTCCTAGCATACTCGTGAGCTCAAGTTCCACTGTTCCACCCGATTGTGCGTTTTTTTGTCTCAGTTTCCCACATCACCCATCTTTCCGATGTCTCAGTATCTGGGTCGCGCGATTCCGAGACATTGTTGACTATGTTCTTTTGGGCTATATTTCTGATGTCTGGCTGGCCTCTCATTGCTCGCTTTACGTCCAATTGTGACTGGTCATGGATCAAGGAACCTCTAAGAGACATATGTGGTTATTTTTCAGCACTTCCCTTTCGGGACGTCTCTCATTCTATTCGGGAAATTCGGCCTGATATGGACTGTGTACAGCTTTCGGTGCCACATCAGATATGTGATAACGTGGAAAACTTTGCACGTGGTGGGACAAAATAGTAGATGGTAGATTATCTTCCGCCACAATGGCAATGAGCGTTGATTGGTATGGGTTGGATTAAACTACATGGTTTTCGCCCACGAAGATAATCTGATGAGATTGCGCCACATACTTCACGCATTCATATTGGATGATCAACTTCTGCAAATCTTGTGAGGTGCTAAATCGGGTTTTTACTTGCCAGGCAGTGGCAGTGCTAGTCTGCCCAACAATACACTCACTGGTGGACAAGACGTGCCGAGTTTCGACGCTTACCCAGTCGCTTTACAGTATGTTAGTACGATTTCCAAAAAAAATGGTACTATTTCCTACCCTTTCGCCAATCCCAACCATTTCCATAACTCCCAAATTTACCCTCATCAAAGTCGCCAAAGTACATCCCCTTTGTACCCCTCAGCCTCAACCAACCAAAGCTGTATACACCCGAAAACCATGCAGCCACCCTGCTCCCGTCCGATCCTCCATCAATCGATACACCAGAATCAGGAACATACCGAACTTCCCTGTCGTTCTTTGTGTGGCCATGCAGTGGTGCACAGAGTAATCTACTTTCTTCATGCATGGGAGAGGGAGTGCTTGAAAACCTCCTTCGCTTATGATGTGTGATGTGAATTTTAATCTTGACGATGCGCTAAGCGTCACCGAGTGGAGGGAATTGGTGTAACGATATCTTAGAGCGATGAATAAATGCTACACACGTATATAGCAATGCAATGGGTAACTTCGAAACAATCACCCATTCTTCTATCATTAGAGTCCTCCTTCGTCCCGTCACGATCCCGTTAACCCCTTTCTTCATAATATCATACCATACCATACTGACAGAGTACAACTCTGCAAAGATAAGATCACCCAAGATCACTACAGTATTCCATTCTCGTAATCACTAAACTCTCACCCCAATTTCCATACACAAACCAGTATCGTATCTGTCCACCACCTCCAGATATCTCACCGAATACCGCCGCTGCACCAACCCAGCAGATACCATCATCATCATCATCATCATCATCATCACCACCCAACCTATACATCTTTGTATGTATATACCTACCTATGTAGAGTATATAAAAACCTCGCATCAAAGTTCACCCCATCACCCATCATTAAATTTTCCCATCACACACACACACACACACCCTCCCCCCAACCAAGATAAAAATTCATAAAAAACTCCCAAACAAGCAAGTTGCACCACATATTATCCGGCAATGTAATGTAATGTAGTGACTATCTCTGCAAAGTAATAAATTACCCATGCATGTAGACACTGCATGTCATATACTACGATTGCATGTTAATGTTATACGTACGGTACGATGACAGACAGACACTTTGTAAAGTACATACGCTACATACGCTCGCTACACACTCTAGACCGTACCTCCGACAACTGTGCCATACCTACCTACTTACCTGCCTGCCTGCCTATCTCTCGTGTTTCAGCGATGTGCATATACGGTGAGATGCCACGTGACTCTTCGAATTGTGCTCCCTCCCCCCATTGCTCTACCTCTACTCTACCACAAATCTCGAATCTCAACCACTGTATCCAATCCCCAATCCCCAATTCCCAATCCTCAAGCTAAATCCATCCACCCATACACACAACACAAAGCGATCTCGGAGCCCACACCCGAACACCGACCTCCTGGCTCTCCCCAGCCCAGCCCCCCATCCGCATCCCCATCCGCATCCCCATCCCCTCCCCTCCCTCATGCCGTACCCCCACCCATCTCACAAAAAACACTCACCAGAAAACCAACACCAAAACCAACACCAACACCCAAACCCAACCCAAACCTTCCCCCCCCCGCCCCCCAAATCACCCTCAAAAAATAAAGAGGAACCATCCGTGATCCGTGTCCTCCTCCACGTACATACAGTACAAGCCAACCTTACACCACATACTCATACTCGCCCTAGCAATCCCTCCCAGGCTAACGACATAACACTATCCATTATGCATTAACCATTCCACACCTAGCCCATCCCATGTAACCCACCCATACCCCTTCGTACCTTCGTACCTTCGTACCATCATATATATAGAGAGACGAGGTACGTACCTACGCCCCTTCCCTCCCCTCCCGTGTTTGTAGTCCGCGTATTTCCGTATCGAATGCGGATGCGTGGAATAGGTACAGTACGTACGGCCTCATGGATACTAACTCTATTCTTCGTCTTCTTCTTATTCTTCCTCTTCTTCATTCTCTTCTCTTGATGATATGTTATTCAGTATACAGTACAGTATCTGCTAATGATATATTGATCAATTCCATGATATCATTCATCGAATTACCATTACGTTGAAGAGAAATTAAAACATGCAAGAAAACAATGAAAACAATTATCCTGCTTACATTCTAGAGAGTCTCTGTAGCAACGAATTACAGCCTCATTGATCCATAAAACTTACCTAAAAAACTAGAACATCGACACCAGATGAGGTATTCGAACTCGAACCCCTCCGAATACATCTCCTTAATCCTCAAAACGCCTTGAAATGACCCAAAGTTGATTTGTTTACGGATAATTCTCGAAAGAAAATGAAAACTCCCTAGCCTAATCGTAGATTTTCAATCCATCTCCTGAGGCAAGTATTACCGATCATTTGACAACACCATCAGAATCCCACAGATTCTTCACTTAGATCTCACAATTTAGCTTCAAGGGACAGTAAATAGTAGTGACAGCCTATATAGGAATGATGATATCCGAAATCCCCTAAGATTGTACAATAACGCCCACCCACCCACCATAGTAGTCAAGTCCCCAAACGCGCGCCAATAAAACAAACATGCACAAGGTAATCTTGCCCTATAATATACTTTGTGCTTCAGCTCCGACACGCCAACTGTGATCATGCCATTTTAAAGAAGCGAAGGAAAAAGCAGTATATTATTGGACGATCTCCATCCAAGGTTACACAATCTTTGTTGCCGCCGGGAGATTTCGGATCTGATATGATTATCAAAATCACAAACGACTTTCAATACCCGCGAAATTCTCCTCCCCCGGCCAATGTGCTTCAGGCCAGACGTATCGCATTGCTTCCCAAATGTGTCTAGTGGCATGTTAGGTTTTGATCGGAAGCAGATAGATTCACAGATTGGTTGGTATGGTAGAAATGTGAATTACATACCTGACGTAAATGATCTCCAGACCATCCTTGACTTCTTGTGGAACATCTCTGACACTGAATATTGTTAGTGTGCTGGCGAAATCGAGAGGAGGAAGAACTTGCTCCTTTCTATTGTGTGATGGTAATAATACAGTCTTGACACCGGCACGAAGAGCTCCAATGAGCTTCTCCTTGATACCTCCTACGGCAGTAACACGTCCACGCAGGGAGATCTCACCCTATAGAGGATGTTAGTGGCGATGAACGTACGAGCATTGCATAGCAAGACTTACCGTCATTGCCATGGTGGGGGGCACGGCCTTGCCGGAGAACAACGAAATAAGTGCAATGGTGTGTGCCATACCGGCAGATGGGCCATCCTAGTCAATCCATTAGCGGATTATAACACAACATCATGGGAAAATAGACCTTTGGGATAGCCCCTGAAGGACAGTGCACATGGATACTCCTCTTCTTCATGATGTTTTCCGATGGGTCATGCGTCAAACCCAGCTCGTACGCGTGAGCTTTCACCCAGCTTAGTGCGACCTCGACACTCTCTTTTAGTACATCGCCCAATTTCCCTGTTAGCTGCACGCTGCCGCTCCCTGGCATGTCCGCCACTTCGATGAAAAGTATACTGCCGTTCCCGCCAGAACTATAGGCCACGAGACCTGTGACAATCCCTGGACGACTGCCTTCCCGTTAATACTAATGTTCTAACAACACGCTTTAAGCTCGCTCGGAAGTCTCAATCCTGAGGGCTAGTGAGAGTGGATGAAGTACAAACCTTGTCTTTTCAGCAATCTCTTCATCAAACTTTTCGATACCCAAGATTTCCTCCACGTCTTCCACGGAAAGTTGTGGTTTGTACTTCTCTGTAAGACTGGTCAGTATTCGCTGGCTAAGGATCATGCGGAAAGAGCCTCTACCCGTATGTCCCGAGTCCTTCGCCTCCGCATATTCTACCGCCTTGGCACGACATACGGATCCAATCTCACGCTCAAGGTTACGGACACTAGGAGTTTAGGTCATCAGTGACGTTACTGTAATGATACTTGGCAGTGACTAGCTCGATCCAGTAGTGTACAGAGTGATTGAGTCTATAGAGAAGAGGGAGTTAGGGTCGTTAATGCTTACCCTGATTCGCGAGTATAGGATTCGATGATCTTAGACACAACATCTTGGTTGAACTTGACCTGTCCATCTCCGAGCCCATCTACACAGCGTCAGTGGCCGAATACAAAATTCTCAGCTGATTGTGAAGGCTTACTTGTGCGAATCTGCTTTGGGATTAGATGCTGCAAAGCGATATGTCTCTTCTCAAGTGTCGTGTATCCTGACAAGCTGATTGTCTCCATGCGATCAAGTAATGGTGGGGGGATGGTATCTAAACTGTTCGCGGTGGCAATGAAAAGGACCTTGCTAAGATCGATTGGTATATTGACATAGTGATCCGTGAATGTATGGTTTTGCTCGGGATCTAGAACTTCAAGCATGGCAGCCGAAGGGTCGCCATGGAAGTTAGACGTGCTACAGAAGAGGGGTCAGCTACAGAAGCTTCTAGGAACAACAACGTTACTTACCCAACCTTGTCAATTTCATCAAGCAGGATGACAGGATTTGCCACTCCGACCTTTTTCAGGCCATTCACTATCAAGCCGGGCATTGCTGCCACGTATGTTCTGCGGTGGCCTCGTATTTCACTCTCATCCCTAACACCGCCCAGAGATATTCGGTGAAATTTTCGGCCTAGGGCATTAGCAATTGACTTCGCTAAACTTGTCTTGCCTACTCCTGGGGGGCCAACAAGAAGTAGAATCGGCGATTTATCGAACATCCTCTTGTTCTCGAGATTTTCGAGTTTAGCTGTTGCATTTTCTTCTCCTGCCTTGGCAAGTTGTGAATTAATATCATCATTGATATTTTGTTTGAGTTTGAGAACCGCCAGATACTCGAGTAACCTCTTCTTGACCTTCTCCAGCCCATAATGATCGTCATTGAGTTGTTTGCGAGCCCTCGATAATGTATCGACGCCAAGTTGATCTTCAGTCATCTCAGTCCACGGTATCTCAGCCAAGTTCTCCAGATAATTCCGGCAGACTTGATACTCAGCCTGAGCTGGTGACATTTTCTTCAATCTCTTGAATTCTCGATCTGCAACCTTGGCTGCTTCAGGGGTCATCTTTGCATTATCGATCTTCTTCTTAAGCTCCGCCATCTCATCCAGTTCTTGTTCATCATCCTGAGATCCACCATTCCCTACCATACCGGGAGGCAGAGGCACACCCGACATCCCAGGTCTTCGCATACGATACCCGTTCACTTTGTTCAATTGCTCAATATCTATATTTGCGGGGATATTGGAGGTCGTGACGGTTGTGATTCTGACATTGTTTTTGATGGTGCTCACCTGGCGTTGAAGTAAAACAATTGCTTTTTCGAGGCGATCTTTAGTTGAGAGCGCAGCTAAAACAAGTAGCTTTTCCTCCAACGATGCCTCGACCACATTCGTCATAAAATCGGCTAAAGTACCAGCGTCTGATATATCCTTCTTTGCTATGTATACTTCAAGGCGACGGGCAAGTACTGGAGAAAGCCCAGAAGAAGTGCGGGGCAGCAGTGAGGAAACCCGTAAGAGGATCAAAAGTTCTCGTGATAGTTGTTTGAGATGTGCGAAAAGTTCCTGGATAGCAATATCTTCAACAGATACATCTGCAAAGTTTAGTATATGCCATGTCTATATGAACAGATGTTTCCTTACCTTCATCATATAGATATGTAACTTCTCCTTCAAGGAATGGTCTTTCTTGTGTTATTCTGTCCACCTTGATCCTGGCCACACCTTCTACCAACAAGGCGAATTCTCCCGAACGACCAGTTGTGCCCTCCACCCCAGATATTTTGGCAGCCACTCCATATCCAAACAGATCATCCTTTGTAGCACTCGATGGCTTGATATCTGATCGTTCCTTGGATCGTGGGTTTCGCTCTTCTCCGGTAATCATCTTCTGTCCATCTTGAGTGAGGAATGGCGAGTTATAAGGAACGCAGGCGATATTGACATTGTCCAATCTTTGACTCGGTGTAGTTGAAGCCGCTCTACTGTAAACGCCCGAGAGCAAGGCCGGAATATCTGTTCGTTGACCAGATACTGGTATGCGAAGGACTATCCCAGGGAGCAGGACTGTACCTTTCGCCAAGGGAATAATAGGCAAATTTGCGGTCTTCACAGAACCCATGATGTGTTGTTCCCGCACCGTTAATAATAGAGATGAAAAATGTTGACTCCAGTCGTATATTTGTAGTTTTGATTGTCTATATGAACAAGTCGTTGCCAATCGTTGATGATATCTTGTTTGTGGCAAGAATGCCTCGGAGTATCTATCACAATTGGTTGATTGAGGATAAGGAGCCGAGGTTCATCTTGTTCTTGTTCTTGTCATGGATCTTATTTGTTTGTCCCCACTAGTAATTAATGACAACACAATAGACAACTTTATGTCTTAAGACAACATGAAATTCAGTCTTCACCGATGTTTATCTCCTGATTCAATTGACTTGGACTTTAATTTATTTAAATGACTAGATACTCATACTCGTGTTGATTCCTGTATAAGATAAGTTTGTTCCCCATCATTAGCAAGTTCATCTGAATACAACTCCGAGTATATCTTTTATTTTTCAATCTTCTGTGGCATGGGATTAGTATCTGCCCACACCGCCGCGTAGACTTTTGATCAAGCTGATCTGGTCCTGCGAAGTATAATATAGCCCATCAAAATCTTGGGTGTATTATATCATGAGAGACTTTCAGGACGTTGTACTCGTCGGTCTTGAAGTTGCCTTAGTAGATGAGCTCCTCGTCAGGACTCCATCATAATAAGTATGCCACTTGATGTGCTGAACATTTAAAAGCAAGCTGCAAAATATACCTACGTCAATAGGCATGCTAGAATCGAGACACATCCTCATTTTTGAGATATCTCCAAAAACAAGCATGACAAAAAAGGTAGAAGAAACGGCTTATTATTTTCGGATGGTACATGGTAAAAATAGATATCGATAATCAGCGAAACATAAGCTCGTACAGGCTATTGGGAATATGCCCAGAACACGTGTAATATTCTGTATCAAGGGGAGTGGGTTGGTGGGTGGTAGGTACAGTAAGCTCAGGAATCACCAGCCGATTCCTTCATCGCAAATGCAGGTACAGAATCATGTCAACAACCACTTCGACGATCATGAATTTGATGGTTAATGGCTAATGGCTGATGGTTGACTAGTCACCAGAGATCTCTTTGAAAAGTTTCAGGTAGATCAATTCGGCAACTCATATATGAAGGTTTGATTCCATCAGATCAGTTTTGTCAGAAATTCTGTACTAGCTGCTGTACCAAATATGAATGTGGCGAAGTCAAATTTCCAATTGAGAGGTTTGGTTGCATCTCACAAATCCCACAGCCCCTTTGAGACCACACGCGATACTTTGTAGGTGGTCAAATTTGCCTGGAGTCGCATCCTTTGCTGGCGGTCCAATTGAATTAGAAAATATTCTAGAAGATAAGTGTTTGAGACTGTTGAAATAGATCTGCTGTGTGGGATGCTGGCCCCCGGAAATTCTCTTCTCTGTCAATTGCGGCGTAATCGAACGGATTGAGGCATTCATTACAGCTTACTTTTCTTCTCATTTAAGATCTTTCATATCCTTTGTCGTGTACCTTTGAACGTTTTTCGACCTTTCTGGTTCTTGCTCTTCTCTGTCGTTCGTTTTATCAAGCTCTCTCGACCGTTATGTCGAGGGGCATCGGAATCAATTACTTTGCAATGCCTTTCTCGTTGATGCTATTTTTATCTTCCACCATATTCGGAGTTACAAATGCCATACCATGGGCCGCAGCTGAACAGACAGCTACATATAAAGCAGATGAATGGTCACCGCGACCGACCAATACGATCACAAAGCCTCGAGATCTTTTTAAGAGAGGCTCAATCGATGTTGATGTATGTGGGTGGATTGGAGGAAACCTAGCTCAGCCTGTGGGTTGTGTAAGCGGATCTTCATGTATTCATGATACTTCGCTGGTATTTGTTGGGTGCTGTCCGACCTCTTCTGCTGGAGCAGATCCTATTCCTTGTACTGATGGATTATACACCACTTGTATCGACCATAATAGTGCTGGATATGCTCCAAATTCTTTCTTAATCAATAATGGTGTATTATCATGGTAAGTAGAAAAATACGAGATTATACAATAAATTGCCTAACATATTCACAGCCCCGCTAGTTCAAGCTGTTACCAAATCAATTACCCACAAAGTTATGTTCAATTTGCATGTGGTCCCTCAACGGCAAATGTCACAGCAGCTACCACCTTTGCCGGTCAAGCTACGGATCTTAACCTACAGATTGTATATACTGGAGTCACATTTAACCCAACAATCACAATCCAAAATCCTAGTAATTTTGGTGCTGCAACATCATTCCCAGTCTCTTCGACTGGAACTCCAACACAATCCACAGCTTCGGCTGTTGCGGGTAAGGGGTCACTTACAGCTTCGGTTCCGGAATCGTCAACTTCTGCAGCTACAGCATCGAATGGAAGTTCAAATATGGGGGCCATCGTTGGTGGAACTGTTGGTGCATTAGTTGTTATCATAGGAGCCTCAGTGGCAGCTTTCTTTTTCTTTCGCAAAAGAGGAAATAATCGAGTATCGAGCGTGCCTCGTGGTGTAACTTCTCCGTAAGTTTTGTTCGGTCACTTTACTATGTCAAAGTTGACTAATAACCCTTTCCAGAAGCCGTCCCTCGGAAGCAACTTTTGAATCAGTTCCTAACCCAGCACCATCTCTACAACCGATTCATTCTCCTGTTTCGTTTGGACTCCACTCCTCACAACCTCAAGACCATTACTCTCAGATGAGCGGTACCAATAGCCTAGGTTATGCACCTGTTTTCCAATCTCCCTACCATCGGCCCATTACCCCTATTGGACATGATGAACCCGTCGAAGCACTCACCCTCGACCTCTACTCCCGTAACCTTCGCTCGCCATCTCCTAGACCAGACCCGTTCCAACCACCACACTCCGAAAGACTTCCAGAATCATACGACCCTTCTCGACCACGTAGTCCGCCCTCTTCAGAACCATACAACCCATCACAATCACCCGAATCTCAACATGATTACCTATCTCAATCTCCCGAACCCCAGCGCTACTACCACTTCTCCTCCCCAGAACCACAAGCCCTTCGACCCCGTCCCTCTCGCTCTCCACCTCATTTAAGTACATCCCCAGCTCCAATCCATATCACAAACCCCTTCATCCTCCCTCCTACCGCCGACCTCCCTCCACTCGATATTATGGAAGACATCCAAACCCCTATTACCCCCAAACCTTCACAAGCAAATTGGCACTTGGCTTTGACTGGCGATCGCCGCACCTATGCCCCCACCGATGGCCTTTCCACATCCGCCGACCACCAACATGAACCCATGCCTGCCATGCCTGCCCTATACGCCGACATAACCACTGCCATGGGTGCCGAATCCATGTCACCCCCCAAAGACTCCTTTCTACCACGCCAATACTCCGAGTCGACCAAGCCCGGCACCCGTCGTAATTTCTCGCGCAAAGGCCGAGCTGAAAAAGAAGGACTCGAAACTTCAATCGAAGATGAAGCTGAAGAAGAAGCGGCCATGAGCAACAATATCCGACAGTCCGGATGGGTACCTTTTGGATTGAGAACGAGAGATAGCCCGTCTCCCCATTCTGCGCCGAGAATGCCCGATAGGAGGTTGGGGAGTGATAACGAAGCACCAGCGCAGAGACATCAGATGGGTGATCAAAGGGATGAGGAAATGCGCATTGCGTATAATCCGAATGCGTGTTCAAATAATGGACTCATCGGACCACCGAGAGTGGTGAGGATTGGAAGACAGCCCAGTCCGGTCATAGATCCCAATGCCGTGGAAGGAGGTTGGCTGTGATTTTGAAACGAGGTAAATGGGGAATTTTAATAAAAGCAAAGGAAATTTCTTTGGTTCTCTGTATAACTATTCACAGTACATATTATACCTAGAGTCTGTACTCGCCACAGACCAGTCGAGCAAATAATGATGTATGCATGGGACACACGGACGGGATGTTACATATATGTATATATATAATTTTGCTTTTGCACTTTTGCACTATTGCATCACTACAAATTATATGTTTGAACAGCTTTGGGGGGGGGGGGGAATGTAGTAATAGGATAGTATATTAAAAATCAGTACGATTGTAGCAAAACACAATTAGACTATATACTTGCTTTCTACAAAGACTTAAAACCTGATATAAATGGCGTTTCAAATCATCTCATCTCATTGCTGTGTCAAATTGGAAAAGCTCTTCACAACGAGGTGAGCCTCCCAGTTTCGAAGTATGGTATGCTCTGATTCATATTCCATCACTACTACCCGTACTACCACAACAATAATGATGAATCCTAATCAGCCAGTACTGAGTAAGTAATATGATAGAAAGGCAGGTAGGCAGGTGACAGAACAGAAGGTCTTTCCTTTCCTTCGTTTAATATAAAAGATGAATATGAATAAGAATATGAATATAAAAGCATGAAAGCTCATGATAAAGTTATCCTACCGCGATCAGTAATTATAAGTACTATATAGTCGCAGCACGGGACAGTACTGACTACAGTACAATATGAGTAATATAATGATTCTCAAGAAGTCGTGAAAATTTATCGAGAATTTGAAGGGTAACGGGTTGGGATCTCCACCTCTTGTATTTTCTTATGGTCATTATATTTATTTTTCGCATCTTTTGACTGATGCGGTTATCTCAAACGGTCCTGTAGATTGATTATTTGGGGTGATGTTATTAGGTAGATAATGAGGAATCCATGTTCGAAAGTGGGTGGAATAATGAATAATGAATAATGAATACAGTAAGAGTAGTCGGTGGTGATTACGAGTATAGTAGGCGAGTTCTTTTGATTGCATACTGTGTTCGAACTTCGAGGGAACGAGAAATTATGAGGGAAAGGTAAGTTTGGAATTGAGGTGTATCCTCGTATATCAAGTGGAACAGGAACAGGAACAGGAACAGGAACAGGAACAGGGGCAGCATGAATGATATGATCTGAAGTATATTGAAACACATGGAAAATTCAAAGTAGCAGGAAATTACTCGTTCGTACGTGTGGATATAGCTGAAGGGAGGAGATACGATTCATCTACAGGTTGCTCAAGAATTACTCAGACTCTCGGTCAACCACTAGTCACTTAGAACTAACTTAAGTATGTACTGGGTTAGATACACAATTGATAACAATTTCCATGCTTTCAACCATAGATCCATTCCTCTTACCCCCTCAATCCATTTCAGCCCTCGGATCGAAGCTCCCTTACTTTACCCAGTATACTCGTAGGGTATAGAGGGTCTAGTCAGGTTTATAATTAAGTGACTAATTACTCATATATTGATATAATGATGTAATGATACCAGCCCACTAGTTAGTTGTTATCTTCAATCTTCTCTTTTTCCAAAAGATCTCACACATAGCTTCATATCTTCTTCTCCTTCTCCTTGACTCCACAAACCCTCGCACCATCCCTCCTTCCCTCCCTCTCTTCTTCCTCCCCCCCCTTCTCCCTCCCCCCTTTCTCACGGCAACAGCAAGAAGAAGCGTCGAACCTCAAACTTCGCAACCAAAGAAACTCAACCCACTCACAAAAGACACCAAAAGCATAAAGATTAATTAATGATGGTAGTATTCTCCCCTCTCCACACTCCCTACTTCCCACCCCCCTCTGAAAACTAAACCAACCAAATAAATACTCAGTATAAACAAATACATATAAATAGTATAGATGGCCGCAAGAAGCTGAGCTCACACTATCTATCGTACAAACACACCATACATACGATACATACGCCTCTCGCCATGCATGCATCATACATACTTGATTCCCGACAAAACTTAGAACTAAAAATACCTTTCATCCATCCATCCAATCTGCTATCATCCAAAAATGAGTTATAAAAAAATTTCTTACATGTTCTATGCATCCCCAACGTATTGATGACATATAATTTCGGAAAACCCAAGACCAAAACTTCTTATTCACCAATCGCATTCATTAAATAAAAGAATCCAACTCATTTCATTAAAGAGTTTCGTTCAAAAGAAATGTATCATCCATAAGTGTCGTCAAATAAATAAGTATAAAGCTCAACTCCAGAACAGATAAATGCATTGTCTTACATACCCTCTTCTGGGCCCAAAGATTTCTGCGACTGAAGATATGCGGTAGGTATGTTTGGTACCCGTGGTGATCGAGGAGGTTGCGAAATATTTCTCGTTTCCGCTCGTAGGCTATCTCGGAAACGTTCACTGTCGCGTGATCGGCCGCCCGTCAGTCGTCGCATGCCCAGCCGAGTGCTGGCTGCGAGAGGTTTGATCATGTTCTCCAGAAGGAATGATCCTTCTCCGGATGTTCTTGTACTGTGCAGGTCCTCTTCGCCATCCGAGAAAACATCTTCACTGAAGTCATCATCTGACATGTAGGTCGTGCTTGGATGACTCGAAGAAGTTGAAGGTGATGTCAGAGCACGAGCGTGTAAGCTCGGTTTAGAGGTAGGGACGAGATTGAAAGCGGCCGGAGTCATGGCGTTATTTGACTCTCGAGGTGGTCGTAGATCAGCGAAGCCATTTTGAAAGGTAGAATTGGTCGCTGAATGAGTAAGTGACTGATGAAGAATGGGCAGAGTTTGCTCGTCATATAATTGAGCAGCACCAGAGTCGAAGCTTTCGCCCGAAAATCCAACTTCTGTAATTGTTCTTGAGGACCGGCCATCGCTAGTGGGACTTTGCAAACTGTCTTCAAAGAAATCGTCAAGGCTGTCCAGCCTCATCATGAGGTCGCCAATATTTCCATCGCCTCGAGCTTCATCCGACATCATAGTCTCAGTTCTCTCAGGCGGTGGAAAGTACCCGTATTGAAAGTCATCCACATGAAACTCGACATCTGGAGTTGCGGCGACTTCATCGTTCATATTCTTAGTGCTTTGACACATATAGAACACGGCATGCACATTAGATCTTGTGATGCTCGCCTGTTTTGCAGGCATTGGAATGGACCAGCCAGACTCCTCTGGGATACCGAAGAGGCTTTGAGTGTTATCATATTCCCTCCTCATCGCTCTCGAAGAAGATCTCGTCATGCTCATACGTAAGTGATGTTTGTCCATTGGGGTTCCTGTCACTGTCATTATTTGATCTAGTACTTCTAGGGCTTCCATGCAAAATTCTGTTTGGAGTAATCTTAGAAGAGGCGAGATAAGGTCAGGACCATGAGAAGCAATTTCCGGCTTTGTCATGTCGATGTCAGGGATGATAGCACATAGTATGAGCATTGTTTTTGATTTGAACCATGATATACTGTTTGTCAGCGAGCCCATGATAAATGTCAGACTACGGAATTCCCACTGTGGGAAGAACGATTCGCGGAGCGCAGAAACCAATTGAGCCAAGAAATCTTTGCTTGAACGGTAACGTGATGCAGCAAATCCACTGAGAGCCCGGGAAATAGTACCAAAGCCTTGATTTTTTGCAACCTCCGCGAGAATCAAGGCCGTCTCTATGCTCTTCTGGTCGATGTTTGCTTGATCCATGGCATTTAAAAAGCCAGGGAAATTAGCCAGCACTGCAAATATTAATCGACTGTCGTCCCCAATGAGCTCATCACTCGGCAGTTTGACGAGCTTGTTGAGAGTGACGAGAGTCATATCAAGACAGGCAGATGAGCGAACACCCTTGTAAACCAATGCTTGAACTCCCCCAAAGGAACCTTCCCAGCTTGTAGGTCGTCCTTCGACAAGCACATCTCTCACGGAAGGGTCATCCAAGTCGAGTTTTGCTAGAAGCTCTTCGAGCATATGACTAGCTTCTAAGAACTCTTGTTCATTTATCGTGTCCAGGCAAGCGCATGTTGTCCAGAATAGTTGAGGGAAAGTAAGCAAGTCAGCAGGCTCAAGTTTACGAATAAGTGTCCGTAGTGTCGTAAGTATCTCGATGGAAAACAATTGGGTAGAATTTTCCAAGTCAGCAATTGTATTTGAAAGTCTTATCAACATGTCGGCAAGCATAGGCTGATCTAGTGAAGTAAGGGTACATCGGAAGATCTGGAATGATCGACAGGCAAGGTGACGAACAGGGCAAGACGTTGCCCAAGTCAGTGATAGTTTAGCCCACTGTTCTTGTATGCCGGGGTATTTCACTTCGAAGTCTCTAACTACTTCACTGGTAAGAAGTTCCATACCGGCGGGAACTTTATTTTCTTGATCATACACTTTGCCACTGTTGTCGTCGTAATGCCAAATAACTTCAGGGTCGTGGCAGCGAATGGATTCGATAAAATCTTCGATAGAACTTTTGCTGGGGGTGGTAATCTCGTCATCAATCTGAGAAATAACCAGCTCATGGATCAGATGGATTAACATTTCTCGGGCTTGTTCTTGTACCAGTGGTATGTAGTGATCCCAGAGGACAGTTACTACTTGCAGAAGAAGGGGGATGTTGTCTGCCACAAGTTGAACGGGTGATACCATTAAATCGACAAGTAATATAAGAGACAGTTGTCCCAAGGAAAGCCCTGTTTGTTTATTCCCAATTGGCAACGCCTCCGATAGTTCTGCCATATATGGTAGTTTTCCAACATCAGGCGGAGGTGGTAAAAACTCTCGTTTCTCATTGGGGACCATAGCTTTCGGCGTGATCTGCATCAATAAAAATTCCACGACTTTACCACCAGCGGGAGTACTGGACAAGAACACCACGATTTGCTTTGCATACTCAACAAAATTCTGTTCCCGCCTGTCGAGACATAACGACATAATAAAATCTAGTACTAATTGGACATTTCCAGCATGTGGGCCTGTGGCAAGCGCTTGCCATAGGGCCTGTACCTCGTTGTGAAGAGTGCTGCTGCATCTGATTGTTATCTCAAACAAGTTTGCTAGTAGGACATACGATTGCGCAGTTGGTCCACCATTCGGGTCAATTTGTAATTCTATGATTTGAATCCACGGCAGAATGGCAGCAACCATATTCCTTTGTGGCCCCGCCTGCAGTTCTTTGAAGTACATAGTGAACTCTGAGAAGATGAGAAATGCCAATTCGGAGTGATTAGCTGACAATCGCTTGGAGATTTCGAATTGAGCGAGCTTGTATACCGCCTTTGTTTTATCTGAAATACTGATATCAAAGTCCTGAATTTTAGAACTTCGTTGCTGTCTCTCCTCCAAAGCACGTAGTATACGAGCAGATTTGATTCGGATGTCGCTCAACTCACTTCCAAGGGTATAAAGTCCTATTCCTAGCAATCTCCAGAAAGGCATTGGGTAGTCTGGGTACTCAAGGAGTACCTCAGTTACAACTCCAAAATAACTTTGAAGTACTTTGGCCGCCTCCGCAAGATAGCATCTAGTGATAGAATGCTCTAGTAAGTAGGGAAACTCCTTGTTGTGTACTATCAAGTTCTTCAAAGCTCGTCGTCCGATAACATGCATTCGATCACTGCCAGTGTTGAAAATTGTTTCCACCCATGAAAGCATACGTCGTATGTCGAATTGTAGGTTGGCTCCACTTTCCGTTGTTATACTGACACGGCCTCCACATAATGCAGCCATTGCGCTAAGAGCTGCGGTTCGAAGGTTCCTTTTCTCAATTTCCATAGCAGCTGTCACAACGCCCCGTTCACCAAGTGATTGCTGGTTGATCATGGACTGTCTCATATTATCCTCTCGCTGTCGTATTTGGTTTTGATTGGGGGAATAACCGCACCAATCCTCCATAAGAGCAAAGGAAGACTTTCTAGACTCGAATGTCATCCATCGAGACGGGTCTTTAGTAAGGTTGATACCTTCGAAAAGCTCCTCCATTAGTCCACAGTAGTGACGGCGGAGCTTTTGGAACTCCCAATCCAACTGGACTTCTCCGTCCATCAGGAAAATTTTGAGGTCTTTTGTGTATATGACAAGGTTATTTAGAATCCAGTCATCATCATAAACATCTGGCTGTTTTAAGAATAAAGATGTTAACTTATAGACATGGGTGACCTCAGTTCTTAGCAGATCGGTCCTCCTATTTCGCCTGGGGCTGCTGGCACTTCGTTGATGAATTCGAGCCCGTGCATCATCGTTACACCGACTTACTACGCCTTGTAGTTCTTCTAATAACGTTTTGTAAATATTGACGTTGATCGATCCTAGCGCCACAACGACTGCATCTCGAATTGAAGCCGGTCCCACTGAGAGTAATGGGATAAGATATTTGAAAAGAATCCTTGCGGATGTGATTTTCTCCAATGCCTGGTTTGGCTTTGACCCTTTTCGATAGTGCTGCGCTGTTTGCGGCGATGACTGCTGCTGGCCACCCTTGTCCGAGAGAGTTGTACATGCAACAATAAGATAAAGTTTCCACTGTTCGATCAGCACTTCTGGTGGAGTTGTTGAGGATCTTGACAATAAGCGGCCGCTACCAGTATCATAGCCATATTGTGGGCCGCGATTTGCTTCCGACAAGACAACGATGCCTCGATACATCTGAAGAATTCGATTGCATATTAGTTCTCGTCCCAGTGTGACAGCGAATGGACAACGATCGTAACTAATTCGTATCAGATTCGGAAAGATTTTGAACCACAAAGTCGTGTCATATGAGACGTCGCTACTGCAAAGCTCAATCAAATCGCTCTCATTCCTCCCAGTGAGATCTGTCTTTTGTAAGCCCCGTTGTAATCTACTACGTTCTGCAACAGACAAGTTTTCGTCATTGAAATCCATGACTCCCTTCGCATCACCTTCGAGAATGTGTATCAATCGGCCATTGTCCTTACCCAAGGCAGTGTCGAACTCCGTAATGAGACGCAGAACCGTGACTGCGAAGGCACGCACTCGTCTTGACTGAGAACATAAAAAGAATAAGCCATGTGATTCGACTTCATCAACATGTGCCCAAATCCCAGAGAGATCTAGTTGTACCCCTCTTTTATCAGCAGATCCATCTTCGAACATATCTAAGGCAGCCTCTTTCATCTTGTTTTTGATCTCCTCGATCCAGATTTGAAGTAACTCCACATAGAGCTTTAGCGTGCTCTCGATGTGTCCTGGACCAAGCATACCGCCATCAGACATGGTAGAATATCTATCATCAAAATTAAATATGAAACGTGCAAATCCAATAGTAACGGGCTGAGCGTGAGATTGCCTAGCAATTGACTTCAGAGATTGCGCTGACGACTCCGCTATGTTAAATTGCACGTGAGCAGTGCCGGTACAAAGGAGGTTCACAAGGATGTTGAAGGGTATGTCAGCCGATAGACACCGAGGTAATGCTTGTACTGCAACATGCAGCAGCTCATAGAATCCCTGCTTTTGCTCTGATGGAGCTAGGTGGTCGTCTCGCCGGAAGTTGAAACTTTCAGCAAGTGGTGTTTTAGGTATGGGTCCATTGAACTTCTCGTCCAATACGGCTTGACCTCCAAAAGTATTGTCGCAAATGATAGTAATTTTGCCTAGAATCTCACAAAACTTTGAGTAATATTCCTTGGCTACATCACTAAGTGTATTAGTGATCACAGGGCGCGAAAGCCGATCTTCGCGATTGGGGACTACCACAGAGGGGGTATTTGGGCTGCGAGGCCCTGTCATTATGGGCGATGCCGGTATTCTCTCAAACACCGGCAACGGCGAGTAGTGTTGTGGAAATGGTGGACAACCTTGTTCACCTTTTTCTAGATCTGACATGATGGCAAGGAAAGCTCGAATTCCCACAACCATTTTATCGGGTTCTAATTGCTCGACTTTGAGTTCCCTCCCAGAAGCGAACAAATCTGCGTTAATTAAGGGGAATACTATAGTCCGGAAACAGAAATCCTGATACTTGAAGCCAATGATGCGTATAATCTGGATCAACGGTTCGATGGTCGAGAATTCCGTCGAAATATAAGACTTTCTACCGGGAGGTAGTACAATTTTCATAACATCTTCGAGCTTCTTGATTGTGCTGTTTGTGGTATCTGTTGTACGATGCAAATATGTCCAAAGAAGTCTCGAAATCACTTGTAGGCAAATTGGTCTGGTTCTTGGTTCCTTCATTTTTGCCTGGAGGGGTAAGACTAGCTGAAGCCATTGCGTAGAAAAGGTATCTGTAGGAGACACACAAAGTAGGGTCGATGTCAATGGAAATGCAACAGTCCAGTGACGAGGCTTGATAAACATCGAAGCTAGTCTGGGACCTATAGTTGCCAGTACTTCAGTCCACTTCGGCATATTGAGTTCCGTATTTGCTGTGGCAGCGATTGGCAGAAGAAGTATATCGAGTGCCATGCAATAGGCATATTTAAGCTGTTGCCCGTGTGACTGTGAAAAGAATCGACCAAGAGATATCATGAAGTCGCAAGACTGGTCCCACGCATTCTCAGGATATGCTTTAAGACGAATGTGCTTCATACCGCCGAGGACTAAAACCATTCGCCCTTCTATATCTCTATTCACTGGACCTTTGATCACTAGATCGTTCTGTGACTTCTCGAGATCCGCTATGAAACGATCAGTGACGCTGTCAAAATTAATCTCCGCCATGACACCCAGCAATTGACTAAACAAGAACCAGTTGGCCATCTTGAGAGGCGAGGTGTTGAGTTGATCTGCGTCGGCAATTTTCAGTTGTCCAAAAATGATACCTTCCAGCTTTTCTTCCATCTCGGGTGTTATACGAGCCAAGGTACTTTGCCCAATGACTTCCATCAAGACTCGGCACAGTATAAAAATTGAAGCTGTTGATCGACGTTCTGCTTGAGCGACAAACTCTTGGCGTGCAGCTATATTTGGCAGACCGGCCATCAAATCGTCTTGCTGAACATGAGGAGGCTCGGTGTTCCTTCGAGGGAATTGGCCTGAAGGTAAGTTACCTCGAAACTACAACGATTTTTCAGCAACGTACAGAGACACATCTGGAAATCTCAAGCTTACCTGTTGCAGCTGAATCCTAGCCTCATTGGCAGCATCACTCTTGCCCTTCCGCCATAACATCATTGAATCGATGAGAGGCTTGGGTTTTTGGCTTGCAATGTGACCCAGAGCGGAGATCAGTTGATCAAATGCTGGATCCACTTCTGTTCCGCATATATGTTCTATCTGAGGTTCTGGGTCCAGTGGTAGAGTAACGCACCGTGAGATCTTTTCCTCTGCTTGGGCAATAAACTGGAGCGTGGTATTAGAAGGAATGCTATCAAAATGGTCAAGGAGAACTGACTGAGGTGAACAAGACATGCAGAGCATATTCCCCGACAGTTTTCAGCTCGTTGTGATGTCTTGAGTGGGAATGATGATGCGCATGATTTCTCCGACTCCTTCCACTGTTACTATTTCCCCGCTCCATAGTTCTCTGCGTACTGCCTGATGGCGCATTTTCGGCAGCTGAAGGACTTCGGGAAGGTACGAAAGTTGTATTCGAACTAAAAGAAGTGCCGCTGGTCATACTGGATGCGCCGGAGGAGAAATTTGAATCGCCCATGACCGATGCATCTGCCCAATCTCCACCTGCAGCAGCGATTGTCTGCGGGCTCAGCGGGCTAGTAGATGAACTCTCAAAGCTCCCATTCCTGGACCGCTGTATGCCATTAACGATGCTGGTGTTTCGGTGATGACTTTTCGCATCTGCATCTATTGACCCCCCTCTCGTATTACCAGTGTGAAGTCGCGGCGATAAATTGGCGGGCTGAGAAGGCGACTCCGAAAAAGCGGCCTTGAGTACTGCGAAGAAAGACTGATTCGAACTTGGCTCTCGAGAATGAGCAAGGGATCTCGAGTTGGTGGTGTGTGAACGTTTCAAGGTCGCGGTCCACGTAGTCACGTCAATGTCGATGGGCGAGAAGTTTTCTGTTATTCCCTCAGCACGATGACCTGGTAATGATGCTTGAGACAAGTATCAGCAAGGATATGTCGTAAATAAAGGGTTGCCCCAAAAAAGTAAAGCAATGCTTTGCTTTGCGTTTAAGTTTTGAGGGTCGGGAAGTTTGAACTAAACCACCCTAATGTCATTGATGATTAAAGTATGTACCGGTACTCACTCATTCTGTCACGGGATATTGATCATGTATTGTTCATTGTTCTAAAGCTTAGCTATTAAAATATAGCTGCTAATATTGTCGAAGCTTCAGTTGGTACTCCTTTGACCGTCTTGACGTTCTAAAGTCTAACAATTTGCAGTGAGGGTCAATATCGTGAATGTTTACGGCAGCCAATGATCATCCAACCCCTGGAATAAACCCCTGAAGGCGCTGAGCCAGAACTCCCACAGAACAGAACGACGTACGAATCATGTCATAATTCTAATTAACCATCACCATCACCATCACCATCACCCAACTGCACTTTCACATGGTTATGATACTAGGTAGCTCAAAAAATTGACAAGAATAGGAACCAGCATAACCACTATTTACCTATTTACAAGGTCTTATCTCCTGTACCTATAGCTATTAGTCAATCACTACCGGGCCCTGTAGCAGGATAAGAAAAGATCAGAAAACAAGAATCAAAATAATAGATGATGAGCTGGCTGGCACGGCTGGCAACTCAAGTCTTCTTCTTCAGTCACCCCCCTTGGGACAACAAATCCTTCCCACGATTCAAATAGAGTTAGTTACATGTGACTGCATCATCGGAACGATGAACCCCTGTCTGTAACCGAAAAGGGATTGAAGTTCTCTGTGTCTTCCTGGATATAAGAGATTAATGAATCTCCGGTGGATTCCCAGTCCATGCTACCGGTATCTTGGAAAGTTTCTTTGGGAAAGAAAGTTGGAGTGAACATGCCTGGATGGCTCATCTGTCTGTACAATGTACATACATAGTAGGTACTCTTACTCTTCTTTTGTTGAGAGTATTGGGCTGAACAGCTGAGACAGAACATGTAACCATTTAATATATGAGATAGGGAGACAAAACTGCCTCTTTCCATCATGTTGTACAAGAGTCAACAACTAACTGAATCGTGTCATCTTGCCAAAGCCGCTGACATGATATTACTTTGAGAACCCCACCAGCCCCGTCGTTTGTCTCCTCGGAGTCGACATCGAAAGCTCATTATAGCGTCATGGAGTATCGGATCCGATCTCTGATAATATCATCACAGAATGACAGCAGTGACAAAGTCATTCCATTCCAAACCCGAGGACTTCTAAGTTCTAACGCTCAGTGTAAAGTTCCGCCATGTCCCACCAAAGCGGAATTTCGGATACTCCAGCGGCTCCGATAGACTTCTCCTAGGAGATCTAGAAACGTGTAGAAAACAACTTCATAGACGTCGACCCCTTTACATCATGAAAATCTAATATAGCTAACTCTAACCATCATGTCGGGTTGTGCTGTAACTTTGATTAGATATACTGGACCCTGGGATTGGCGGCTCTCTCTACAGAGTAGGTAGTAATGATTAATGATCCATGATCTACGAGGGGTTCATATGAGGGACATCCAGCCTTCCCCAGTAACTCGGAGTTGTTATTGATAGGATTTCTACGTACTCCTTCCTGTTCAAGAGGATATGCTAGATAGATCTGTAGAAACTATATAAGAAAACGTCGGTCCCAAAAAGGGCAATATGTAAAACTCTCGAACTCAATCCACTCATTTCTGGCCATATCTACTACTACCTATCTACATACACTTTTTTGCCGCGTATGAGTACAACCCATCCCATCTCCCTCAATCCGCCACCCCCCATCCACTACCACTTTCAACGTTCAAAACTCACCTCGATTGTTACAGTCTTCATCCTGTCATACTTTCGGAGTCTTTTCGGGTCTCTGTATATCATTCCGACAGCTCCCGAGTTATTCACCACTTTGCCTTTGCCTTTATCTTTGCCTTGCTGTCTTTTCCGCTCTTGACCGTGCCCTTTTCCTCGGCTAGGTTGTGATTGATCGTCCCCAACGACTCCAAAAGTTTACCGTATTTTACAACTTTTTGTACATGTGTACATAATATTTATATCTGTTAATAATTTATTTTACAACACAGTCAGCGTAGCTGCAAGTTTATTACCAACCGACGAGGTGTCAATTCTTTTCTGCTCTTGCCCGAGCATAAGTTCACCAGTACCATCTCCGCCGTTTATACCTCTCTTCGATCTATCAATTCGCCCTCAACATTTGGCAGATCTCCAAATCCCAAGATGGGTGGACAACTTGACATCTTGGACATTGTCGTCCTCGGGGTGCTAGCTTTGGGAACGATAGCATACTTCACAAAGGGAAAATACTGGGGTATCGTGAAGGATCCATATGCTACCAGTTATGCCGCCACCAACGGAAACAAGCCCGCAAAGACAAGGAATATTATTGAGAAGATGAATGAGTCGAGCAAGAACTGTGTCGTCTTCTATGGTTCGCAGACTGGTACCGCAGAGGATTATGCTTCTAGATTGGCAAAGGAAGGAAAGAGTCGTTTTGGCTTGGAGACCATGGTAGCAGATTTGGAAGACTATGATTATGATAACCTCGATACCTTTGGAGACGACAAAGTCGCAATGTTCGTACTTGCCACATATGGTGAAGGTGAACCAACCGATAATGCTGTTGATTTCTACGAATACTTCATGAATGAGGATGTAGAATTCTCTAGTGGCGAGAAATCACTTGAAAATCTCAAGTTTGTCGCATTTGGTCTAGGAAACAATACCTATGAACACTACAACTCTATGGTCCGAAATGTTACAAAGGCATTCGAGAAGCTCGGTGGTACAAGGATCGGTGAAGCTGGTGAAGGAGACGATGGCGCCGGTACTATGGAAGAAGACTTTTTGGCCTGGAAGGACCCAATGTGGACTTCATTGGCTGAAAAGATGGGATTACAGGAACGTGAAGCTGTTTATGAACCAGTTTTTGCCATTACAGACAGGGAAGAGTTGACAAAGGATTCTCCAGAAGTATATCTCGGCGAGCCAAACAAAATGCATCTGGAGGGTACATCAAAGGGTCCTTACAATGCTCACAACCCATATATTGCACCTATATCCGAATCCAAGGAACTCTTCACCGACAAAGACCGAAACTGCTTGCACTTGGAGGTAGACATCAGTGGATCTAACCTCAGCTATCAAACTGGAGATCACATTGCGGTTTGGCCAACAAATGCAGGAAGGGAAGTGGACCGATTCCTCAATGTTACTGGACTTTCTTCCAAGAAGGATTCTGTTATTACTGTTAAAGCATTGGACGCCACTGCAAAGGTTCCATTCCCCACACCTTCTACATACGATGCTGTAGTTAGATATCATATGGAGATTTGCGCACCTGTATCACGTCAATTCATTGCCACTTTGTCCGCCTTCGCCCCAAATGACACTATCAAGGCTGAAATGGAGAAGCTTGGTGGTGATAAGGATTACTTTCATCAAAAGATCAGCAAAAACTATTTGAACATCGCTCAGGTTTTACAAGAAGTTGGTGGCCAAGAAAAATGGACAGCCATTCCATTTTCCGCTTTCATCGAAGGTTTGGGCAAGATTCAGCCTCGTTACTACTCTATTTCGTCTTCCTCGCTTGTGCAAAAGAAAAAGATTTCCATCACAGCGGTAGTTGAGTCAATCGACATCCCTGGAAGAACAGATTCTTTGAAAGGTGTTACCACAAACTACCTCCTTGCCTTGAAGCAGAAGCAACATGGCGATGATCACCCCGATCCCAATGGCCTCACGTATGAAATCACAGGACCACGCAACAAGTATGATGGTATCCACGTTCCCGTACACGTACGACACTCCAACTTCAAGCTCCCATCGGATCCATCTAAGCCTGTCATTATGATTGGTCCTGGAACTGGTGTTGCACCCTTCAGGGCATTTGTTCAGGAAAGAGCTGCACAGGCAAAAGCTGGCGAGAATGTTGGAAGAACAATCTTATTCTTTGGATGCAGAAAATCTACAGAAGATTTCATGTACAGGGACGAATGGAAGGTGAGTGATCTTCTACATCTTGAAAATGAACGGAAGAGCAATTCAGCTAATATATGACCAGGAATACGGGGAAGCTCTTGGCGACAAGTTCTCACTCATTACTGCATTTTCCCGTGAAGGCAAGGAAAAGATCTATGTCCAGCACCGTCTCAAGGAACACGCCAAAGAAATCAACGAGCTCCTCATGCAAAAGGCTTACTTCTATGTTTGCGGCGATGCAGCAAACATGGCCAGAGAAGTCAATACCGTTCTTGGTAAAATTATCTCAGAGCAGCGTGGAATCCCAGAATCAAAGGCCGAAGATATTGTAAAGAGCATGCGATCCGCCAATCAATACCAGGTACGTTATTATTTGAACAAATTTCTCCATCTCCATATTGTTTGCTTCCGAGTCATCCAACCACCGGCATTCTGTTCGGCTGGCTAGATAGTGGAGGAGCGCCGAATGTCAGGGTGGAGTAAACCCCGAGCCCGGAATCTCATCAGTTCTACCATCTTCGGCACCATCTTTGGCATACTAAGTCTTTTCTGTACAAACACAAACTAACACACAATTATAGGAAGATGTATGGTCGTAGACTCGTTATCTCATTCTTACATACACACCACACCTCAAATTTTATTCATCTTTGATATATGAGACAGCCATCAACAAAAACCTCCTGCATCTTTTCCTTCTAAAATGAGTTCTTTTTAAGTTCTTCTTCGTTAGTCACCGTGTTTGGTATCTGCATACCTTGCAACCATGCGGCTTCCTTGCATAGTTTGTCTTTACAATCTATTTCGGTCGCTTGCTTGTTTGCTAGCTTATGCACAAGAAACCCAATTACCCGATCGGATCAATCAATACAAGGATTAATCGATACTCGATACTCGAAAATGGACCGGGCTTTACCTATATTTCTCAACATCAAGCATGTCATTTGCAGTGGGTGGATCTAGATAACTTTGGATTGGGTTTGACACTTTTGACAAACAACCTATCTGCACGAGGTCTGTTTGATTTCTCGGTTTGGGATTGGATTGCGTTGGTGTGTGTGTCGGATTCCCCTACTTTATTCGCAAGAGAGAATTTTTAATAAAATATTTTATGGACGAAATGGGATGGAATCGGGATGGGGTGGGGATAGGAGAATATGTGTGATAGTTGTGATGTGATGGGAGGAAAAAGAGGGGTGTAGGTTGGCTGGTTATTTACAATCGGTACATTATTCATGATGCGCGCATGAGACCATAGAGAGTAGACCTCACAAGCATATTTTTTTTTCTTTTTTACAGTGTTTTCTTGTTAGATAGACGGGGTGATACTCCGTATATCTACAGTAGTCGATGATAATCAAAAGAGATAAAATTATTTGAAAATATTACAGTACTTGTGTTGATATATATGCTATTTAAGGTTTCAGATTTAGCAAACGATATATAAGATATAGATATGTAGTGTTATATAACGACTATCTAATATCCAAATATTACTTGTATTGATGTATATACTATTTGAGATTTTAGATTTGATAATGAATGTATGTATATGGGGTCATAGATCATCACTAAGCGATGGAGACCATTTTGGCATTTAAGGAGATAGTGGTGTGTAGTTGTCTAATGTTGTGTAACGACTACCTAACGAACGTCCTTGGAAATGTTCGCGCTAACGGCTTATTCCTCTTTGATCCTTACTGCTTTAAGGGTCTAGGTGGATCTTCAGTGTCGGGAAGAGACGCTAGCTAAGGTGAAGACCCGTAGGTAAAGCCTAGAGGAGAGTTGTGAATTCGTGACTCTGATTTTGTAGAAAAACTTAAGTATAATATTGTAGTTCACTGAGTATTCGATACTGTAGGCGAAATAGACGGGGAGGTCAGTTTTGATTTGATTGGTCGGCGGGTTTTTCCGTGATTTATGAGAATCAAACCCTTTTTCGTATCGGCTAGGAAAACTGTGTTGGAGCTGTATTGTATTGGTTTGATGAGAGGGCATGGGTCGATGAGTCGGAACGCGTTGGCGGCGAACCCGAGTCTATCTCATCTCTGTGGGTATGCGGACGGGGGGGGGGGGGGTTGGGGGGGGGGCTTGGGCTGGGCTGTAGTCGTGAGTGTATTTGGTGATGTTGGGTTGGATAGGTGAAGGGAGATAGATAGTTTTTGAGCTGTGTCTACCCATGGGTGTTGATATGTGTCTATACTCGAGTATACTCGAGTAGACGTTTTGTTAAGTTCTTGATTTTGATATTTATTTGAGGATTTTAATAATATCTAGAACTTCTTTGAATGTAAATTTTTATTATCTACTAGTCATATTCTTTTATTTGTTCTTTTTACTATAAAAACGAATTCTATAAAAGTTATATTCGATTATATTGGAAGTTGAGGTTATATGTCACGGATTCTACACCTATGCCTACCTTACCTTACCTTACCCTACCTTACCCTACCTTACCCTAGTTCGGATGGATGCCTTAGGCATTCATCCACCATATAGTTAGGGCCACTCCGTGCACCTCCTCCTCTCCATGTGTTGTACAATATACCTTTCTGTAGATAGTCAATAATACTGCTACTTCCACCACGCCATAGAGCATCACTTTCTAATAGATTACGATATATATAGTAAAGAATAATATAAATCTATTTAAATCTTTATTATTAATATCTATATA